AGTTACTGATTACTTTTTTCAAGTAACTTGACCAACACTGGTCATTACTGAAAAATGTAAAAATGTATTACACAAATTACACAAAACCCTTTTTTAAAATAATGCAGTACATACTGTAACTACTTGTTACATTACTCTTTACATTACCTAAAATACTAAAACACACTGTCATAATAACCAGTTAATAGTATAATAGTACAAACCTTAGGTACAGTCCAGCACACCAACACAAATCATGACGACACGAGGACACACATATGATCCTTGTCATAGTATTTAGGTATAAACAAAAAGCTGCCGACACAGAACAAAGATGAAAACCAGCACAAAGAGCGATCGCCAAGGTGATTCTACTTTAGAAACATGAACAGGTAGAAAGAGAGTCTGCAGCCTGACTGCTCATCAGTTCGTTACTTGTTGAAGTTCAGGCTCTGGCTGATGGGCTGCGGCTTTAACGTTACTTTGGGTTCTTGGCTAGCTTAGTATTAGCATGGTCTCTGTGCAAAGAGCCAAAGTTGTGTTACCACCACAGTGCAGCTGTTTCTGTCCTAGATGCAGTTTCCACTTTACCATCACACTCTTGTAAGTTTTTTTGTGCAATAAGAATGAAAGGACAGTCCATATCCAGGCTATAGACTGAGCCACTATTTTCCTCCTCCAACACACAAACTGAAATCAGCTGATTTGGACAACAGGGAACTGGTTCTCTACAAGAACTGGATCCTGATTCTCAAACCTACTGTCCATTAGAACCTCATTCTGAACGCTTAGCAGAAAACAGCTGAAAACATGTTTCCACCTCCGCGCTTGACTGTGGTAAAAGTGTTCTTTAGCTCATACTCAGCATTTCTTTTCTGCCAAACATGGTGGCCAAAGAGATCGACTGACTGACCACGACACTTTCTCCCAAGCCTTCTCTCAATCATGAAGACGTTCACTTGAGCAGGTGGACCTTAAGGTTGCAGCAAGATTTCTATCTATTCTTCTTTATATGCAGTTGAGATCAGGAGTAATGGTAATGGTAATTTGTTGGAAATTCATGTCAACTCAATGTGCTTAACACTGAACATAAAAACCTGGTCACCAAACCACAACCACCACACTCCACACAGCGTCCCGTAACACTGAGGGAGACAGAGTTCTGTCGGCCATGTCAGAGATCAAATCCTTATTTCACTCAGCGACATGCAGGTCAAAGAACTTTTCTGTGATATGTTGATATTCTATCTGCTTCCATTAAAATAAGTAACTAACATAAAACTACCATAA